CGCGACGCCGCGTAACGCCAGGCCGCGCCACTGCGATGACACGCCACGCAGGGAAAGGGTGGGACCATCTTGATGAGCGGCGCGAGTTTCTCCCAAAACTCGGGCTCCCTTGTCGCCGGCACGCGCCGGCCGTCTCTCTCGCACCTCCGCGGCACGCCGGCACGCCCACGAGTGCGAGAGAGACAGCGGGGCAGAGGTTGGAATCACCAGCCTGCAGGGTTCGCACGGCAGGCCGCGGCCACTGGCCGTCCACAAGTCCTCGGCCCTCGGCCCGAGCATTCTGCATGGAAAGTCATCTGCCCGTCCCGTCGCCGGCCCGGCCAGCCCACTTTGTGGTGGGAACGCGGAACGCGGCAAGGCGCGCAATGGGCAGCCTCATTGCGCTTGCCTTGGCTCGAGAAAGCGAAAGAATAAAATAAAGGACGGGCAAAAAGGTACAAAGCGTCCGCACAAAATCGCAGGCGCACTTTGAAACGACACACGCGGCCACGTCGACGACGTCGACGGTCTAGCAGCGACCGTACTGAACGTTCAAAAATCCGGTCCGTCTGGCCGACAGAGCCGCGATCGAGGCAGCCACGGCAGCCACAGCCACTGGCCGGGCACGCTGGCCAGCTCGCTCGAGTGCGAAATGGCCCTCCTCCCGTAGGCCCGTAGGCCGGGCCAGCCAATTAGACTAATTGCAACGATCCGGCCGAAATCCGGCCGAGCCGAACAGCGGACTGATTCCGAGAGTCATCGCGCTGCCTCCCTCCCTCGCGCTCATAGGGCGATCTGAACGGGTGCGAGAGAGACAGCGGCGGAAACGACTCAGTCTGCTGTTCCCAGCCGGGTGCTGGATTCTAGGACTCGACTGCCTCCCTGCACGTGGTTTCCGATGTCAACCTCAACCAGGGCGCCGCCGCGACCGCCCAGAAGAGCACTGCTTTCGTCGCCGTCTCTCTCGCACCCTCACGAGGCGCCCCGAGAGTGCGAGAGAGACAGAGCGACGGCTCTCGAATACTGGAAACCGAACCCCGTCCGCGGCCGGCCGGGGACCGTCGCCGAGCGGGCACGCCGTCGTGGACTGTGTCGTGGACCCGCGCGGGAACAGCAGGACAGCGACGACTTGTAGTGCACCGCCAACCTGTTGCTCGGCCGAGCCGCGGCAAGTCGCCGCCAACTGCTTAGCAACACTGCAGCGCTGCAACGGCAGTCTTACGGCAGTGGAATGGATTGGCCACCTGTTGAGTTCTCTCGCCGCGGCGTGGCGCGGCGCGGCGTGGCGGCGCCCAGAGCAGTTAGAATGCTCCACCAGCAGCGCGACCAGCGCCACGCTGCACTCGGCAGTGCCCCGCCAGCCCCGCGGGCGATTGGAAACAGTTCCAGACTTCCAGACCGCGCTTTCGTCTGGAGTTTTGCTCCGGTCTTCTGGCCCACTGTGAGTCGTCCGGGCGCCGGGCACGCGCCTTAGGGACCGCCCCCTTTTCGGGGACGGAACGCGCCGGCACGGCCAGGGCCTCGGCCAGGGCAAGGCACCGCGCTGTTCGTCGACCCTAGCCCGGCTCGCGACCGCGGCCCTACCTCGCGCTGCCTCGCGTGTGTGTTTGTGTGCGTCCCCCCTCTCCCTTGTCATTATGCGTGTGAACGGCATGCCGCAGGTAAAGGCAAACCGAGAAGGCGCGGCGTCGTGCCTCCAGCATTGCCGCCAGCATTGCCGCCAGCAGTTGGAACTTCGACCGGAAGCCACACCGGGGAGCGTCAACAAACCGCTGGGAAAAATTACTCCAAATCGAGCTAAAGGCTACCAGCGCGCCTCGGCCACCGAACGAGCTTTGCCGTCGCACAGTGGGCCAGAAGACCCGTGTAGGCGGGCAAAACTCTAGACGCGTTTTGAGCTCCAGAGTCGCCTCCGCCGGTCTTCTGGCCCACTGTGGCCTCTGTGCGTGCCCGCGCGTGATGTATAGACCAGTGATCCGTTCTGGCCGGGATGAGCGGCCAAGTTCATTGTGCCCGCAAAGCGACTAAGCTCTCCCCCCGCCATCATGAGGCCCCCGGTGAAGTATGCCCGCTACGCGTCGCTACGCGTCGTCCGTGGCGTGGGCCAGCGGGTCAATTGATGCACCCCCCCCCCTCCTCCCTCCCAAACACGCACGCATCAAACACCACATCGCATTCACATCAACCTTCTCCATTCCATCAGGGGCTGACACATTCCGATCCACTGACACACACCACCGCGAGGCTTCGTCGCACGTGTGTGTGTGTGTGTGTGTGTGTGTGTGTGTGTGTGTGTGTGTGTGTGTGTGTGTGTGTGTGTGTGTGTAGTGCGTGAGGCTAGAGCGGCAGCACCCCGTCGTCGCACGAACAGCAGGATATTACAGAGTTGGGCTGACATGAGAAAACGCTGCCGATCATATGGGACAGGGCGCGAGGGGGGAGGGAAAAAACAGCCGAAAGAACGAATACGTAAGAAGCAATCCACCGCCACTGCCATGACCAGCCGCCCCGTTCTAGGAACATACATGCGCACACAAGCCACGCCGTCGGATGAAACAGTTTTTGATGGTGAAGACCAACGGTTCGATGCTGACGCCGAAAAGGTTTTCTCAGTGCACCGGTCTTCTGGCAAGTCCACTGTGTGGCGCCCAAGCCGGACGTTCAGGACTCGGGACCCGCATTACGGGTCGCTGCACGCGCCGCGGGGCGGGGCGGGGCGGGGCGGGGCGGGGCGGGGCGGGGCGGGGCGCCTCGTTCATTGGGACAGCGGGACAGCCCTTTACGCCGCTTACGCGGATTAGCCCGGCTCGGCCCCCGCCTCCCACGCGCCACGCGCGGTAGCGCGGCAGCCTCATTGCGGGCACGGCCAAAAACAAAGAGAGATGCACTGTAAGGCCCAAACGCCACGGCGCGCAGTCCAGCGTGAACGGCCGGCGGGACACTGCGGGACGACACAATGACGATGACGACGGCAACCCCGCATTATTTCCGGAACGTCATACATAAATAGACGAGCGGCGCGCATGCCCGGCGGCGCCACCACACTGTCCGAATAAAATCGGCTGCCGTCAAACAACAACAACAACCGTCATTTCGTGATGTTGTTGTTGTTGCTGGAGGGCGCTGCGGTGTGCCGGCCGGTGCGATGATTGGATCAGGTTTGTCCGGGCGGCGCGAGGTTCAAACCGGCGGACTTCCGGAAAGACGGCCCATCGCGTTCCCGCATCTGGCTGCCTACACTGCTAGAGAAATGGAGTTTTGAACGGTGTGCCATAGCGGGTCGCACTGGTCAGGTGGAAGAGAGCATGCATCGCTAGCGGCATGGGTTGACTGCACTGGTAGCAGGGGAATTCACTCAAAGGTTAAGCCCAGCAGGGGCTTCCCTCCACTCCACTGGAAATGGCGAGGATCAGCAAGGCTCTGTAGGAGAGAGAGAGAGAGACAGACACACAGCGGCGGTAGCGAGGGGCAGTGACTGGCCGCCAGTCCCAGACGGAGTCAGGTGCATGCGAGCGTGGCGGCCAAGGCCTGGCCAAGGCTCGCAGTGCAGACGCAGGGCAGGCAGGGCAGGGCAGGGCGCCTCTGCCCTCTGCGTCGGCCCCCTCCAGCAAGCCACGCCCAGTTCCGGCGTTCCGGCCTTCCCGGAGCACAGTCACACCGTCGGCGTGGCCCGATGGCCGGCATCCTCAGGTCTCGGTTCAATCTTCGGCCACTGCGACCCGGCGCCACCAGCACCAGACTGCCTCGCTCTGTCTCTCTCGCACCCCTGCGGGACGCACCACGAGTGAGAGAGACGCAGCGCTTCGTTGTTGGTTCGCAGCGTTCGCAGCCGCCACTCTCGGCGCGTTCAAGTCTCCCAGGTTCGACTCGCTGCGGCGCACTGCAGGTCACTGCAGCGCCGGGAGGGAGCGGCGCTTTTGCTTCGGACTGCCGGCGTGGCGGGGTGGCGTCCGTGCCGTCAGTGCCACCCTGGAGGAGCCGCCACCCCCGCGCCGTCGGGCACCGTCCAGGACATCATAGTGCACACCTGGACGTCGTCCCGGACACGAGGGGTGAGAAGGGTGGCGTCGCGGGGGTGGGGGAGCAGCTGCGGCTTCCATCCTCACCCCCGGCCCGGGCAACCCGGGCCACAGACCTCCCCCACCCCCACCCCCGCCAGCCGTTAGGTTCGAACTTCGCTTCCGGCCCAGCGCTGCACACCGATTCCGAGAGTCGTTGTCTCTCTCGCACTCGCGGGGCGTGCCGTGTGGGTGCGAGAGAGACAGAGCGACTCTCGGCATCCAGCCGCAGAACGAGTCACCTGGCTCCAGCGGCTGCAGACTCCAGGCAGGGCCTATGGCAGGGCGTAGCGGCCTACTCGGCGGGCCGATCGTGCCAGCCGAGCCGAGCCGAGTGCGCCCGAGCACGCCTTTGTTTACACCCGTATGCACCGCATGCACCGAGCGGCGAGGCGAGCACCGCGCGAGCACCTCGCCTCCGCCCGACGGTCCTCCCTCACGGTGTACTCGACGGCGGCCACCTTGATCCTGGGAGCGCACCGTCGGCCCGTCCTCGTGTCTCCAGGACCCTTTATCTCCCGTGGCTGCACCTCGGCGACGGCGGCGGCGACGTGGAGACGAGGCGTTGGCTGTCACCCTCGCAGCCCGTGCGTCGCCAGCGGGCTTATCTCGACGCCACGCCACTGCAAGGGCGGCTGGGGCCGAGTCCGTTTGGTTGGCGCGCCGGTCAAGCTGGAAGGGGACTGCAAGGCCGTCATGCTGCCCGACAAGCCCCTCATGCAGCATCCTTGCTGCCGGACAGCAGCGCTTACACGGCCACAGTGGTGTGCCGTCAGCAGGTTGCGACGCCCGAGGGGCGCCTTTTGCCTTACGAAGCATCGCAAGCTCGCGATGAAGGCGCCGAGCGGCAGGCTGGTACCGAAGGGTGGCACAAGGAAGGTACCGGTGGGGTGCGCGTAGAAACGGCTCTCCTCGCAGAAGCACGGCGACACGGCGCCGAGATGAGGAATCCAAGGCACTCACCCGAGAGGCACGAAACGGCCAGCAGCGACAGGACGAGCATGTTGAAGACGAGGGGGTGTCTCGCCGTGGTCGTAATCCAACCCCAGGGTAGTGTTCGCGTTCTAGTCCGTGGCCTTCGCGGCCACCGCGCGTCCGCGGCACAGGTAGACGCAACTCGCGACATGGCTGAGGCTCGCCGGGCCGCTGAGGCCGCCCCGCCAACCGTTGAAGGTAAACTCCGTTCACCACGGCGGGTGCACAACACAATCTTGAAAACCTCACCCTCTGCTCACCAGAGACGTCACCCGAAGGCGGCTCCACCAAGCCATCACATTCGCACGCACTGCACTGCTTTGACACCACTGGCCACTCACTGGGCAACACAAAGCACGAGGACGAGGGGCGAGTCTGTCTGGCACACCGCTGGGCGCAAAGCACGCGCGGGGCGACGGACGCGGCTCACCACGCCAAGGCTCCGCGGAGGACTGGCTGCTGGCTGCCTGTTGGCTGGCCGCCTGTGCCGTGCCTGGACAGCCCAGCGCCCGTTTGGAATGCCGGCGCGGCGGCGCGGCTCCGCGCATGCGCACCAGCAAGCGGCGCGCTGCGCGCCACGCCACGCCACGCCACGCCACGCCCCGCCTCGCTGCCGGCCAGGTTTGCTCAGCGCCCCGCCAGAGCGCGCCACCTGAAAGGCACCCTGAAATGGGCGCTTGGTTCGCGTATTTCAAATGTAGGAGCAGTATGCTTTTTGAGGTTCTTCGTGTGAAGCCTGGAACAGATCCAGAGGAGCTAGTTTGGAGCCGAAGTGGTGGCCGTCTGGCCTGAGATTCAGTGCACTCCGAGATTTCAAGGGTTTCACCACCGCGCGCCTGGTGAGTAGGCAACACCATATACATGGCGCATACAGAGCTGCCTACCTGCTAGGCGCGTAGTAGGGCTTTTCTACGTGAAGCAGCCAAGTGCCAAAGTTTTATTTCTCTGACAATGGTTTGATTTATCTTTCTATGCTGCTTTGACTTTGTTTTTTTTTTATTTCTCTCTTGAACAGGAGGGTTTTGCACCATGTGACTGAATTGAAAAAAAAAAATAGCCCACTGTGGAAAAGCCTAGGGCAGTTGATAATGGATCCGGTAGGTACTGCACTCCATCTTGAGGCCAAGGCATCCCTCTAATGTGTGTCTCATCTCTACAGCAATTAATTTTCTAGATGTATTGAATGTTATCCAAAGTAAAGTCATGTCTGCTGATCCATGACAGTGGTATCAACAACTTGAATTTCATAAAAATATAATGTTTAAATGTCAACTATAATGTCGAGAGTGCAATAAGGTAAGGGAGGAAAAACTTACAAAGGCAAATTTACTTTGATAGTTTTAATTAATTAAAAGAAAAAACCCAGAATCTTGCCACCCAAGTGTTTTCGCCTGGCTTCTTCATGATCCATGATTCCACCGCTTGTGGTCAGCACAACATACCTGCAAGAAATAATTTAATAGATAAATAATTTTCAACATCAAGATAATAGAAAAAGATGAAAGGCAGATATCTTACCCAAACTGTCTGGATGGCAGGAGGTTGTTGGTCCACTTTTCAATTTCAGTGATGGGTACATCAAAGCGAGGTGAGATGACACCACATTTGTTTAACCTACCAGTCAGGTTAACAACAATTTTACCAGCCCTGTGGTCATCGACGATTTCGAATTCACCAATGTAACCTGACAACAGAGAAAAACAAAATAGATGTAAGGACATCGAAAGAAACTGAAGTAATGTGAGCGTAGTACGCCAACAATGAAGTTATAAAATGTGTCTTGAGACAGGTCCAGTTTATGACATGAGCCAATGCAACTGGGTTTTGATAAGACAATTCTCTTTTCCCTGATTCGACAAATATCATAATGATATAGGCATAATGACATAACCTAATCAGGGAACAAAAGTAATTGAAACTCATGGGATGTGCCTTGAGACAGGTCCAGTATATGACATGAGCCAATGCAACTGGGTTTTAATTAGGCCATTTTCTCTTCCCTGACTAGTAACATGTCAACACAAGATATAGATGATGACATAACCAAATCAGGGAACCAAAATAGTTAAAAAGTGAAGGATGTGCCTTGAGACAGGTCCAGTAAATGACGTGAGCCAATGCAACTGGGTTTTAATAAGACAATTCTCTATTTCCTGATTCAACCAATATCAAAACAATACATGCATAATGACATAACCTAATCAGGAAACAAAAAAAATTGAAACCTATGAAATGTGCCTTGAGACAGGTCCAGTATGTGACATGAGCCAATGCTACTGGGTTTTAATTAGGCTATTTTCTCTTCCCTGACTAGTAACATGTCAACACAAGGTGTAGATGATGACATAACCAAATCAGGGAACAAAAATAATTGAAAAGTATGGGATGTGTCTTGAGACAGGTCCAGTAAATGACGTGAGCCAATGAAACTGGGTTTTGATAAGACAATTCTCTATTCCCTGATTCGACAAATATCAATACGATAATGCATAATGACATAACCTAATCAGGGAACAGAAGTAATTGAAACTCATGGGATGTGCCTTGAGACAGGTCCAGTATGTGACACGAGCCAATGCTACTGGGTTTTAATTAGGCTATTTTCTCTTCCCTGACTAGTAACATGTCAACACAAGATGTAGATGATGACATAACCAAATCAGGGAACAATAGTAACAGAAATTGGTTTGATAATTATGCCCTTACATGCGACAATACTTCCATAAATTTAAGAAAACATTGTTTATAATCTTCAAAATTAAGTCGACAAGAAATCATTCCCCCAACAAGGTTCCCCACTTTCTGTCCAGTAGTTCTTAAGTTATACCACCTGCCTCACAGCACCTAGTTTAGGACAATCTGAGTAAAATGTACATAGAGCCACAGTAAGATACATAGCACCTGCTATCAAGAAATGTATTCCTCTCATTGAAGTGCTCTGCCTTTCATTAGATAAAATGTCTATTTAGAGGTTTTAATTTCGCAAGTGTAACATTGTTTCTTACCCTTCTTCATCATCACGGACAAGAACTTGACGATAACTTTGGAGTTGGGGCGGATGAGCACCTGACGCTTGCCTCTCTTCTCAGCATTGTTGATCGACTTTAAAGCGTCGGCGAGAACGTTGGTACGCACCATTTCTGCAACAGACGGGGTACAATTGTTGAGAGAATAGCAACTTGAGAGTTGATCATACAAGATAGTAAGAGTAGGTTAAGACGTCTAGTGGAGTGACCAAATAAACAACAGTGACTGAATTCTATCTTGAGATTTGACAAATAAAACGAACTTAAAGTAACGCCGAACACTGGTAGAAGCGAACTGAGGACACACACACTTGGTCAAAAATTGAATCTATGAGTTGTGTTGGCAAACACGGCGGCGGCTCAAACATGTAAGCAACTAAGCCGAAAGTAATGCAAGTGGTCGAACAATTACACAAAACCGCCGGGGAACGCTACAAGAGCCCCGTGCACTGAAATATTAACGCCCAAATGCATAATATTCAGAGAGAAAACAGACCGAACGATTGACTTCTTAGCACCAGACAATCCGGTGTTGACCATAGGTTAGAACAGCGATAGTACGATAATCACAGAGACCAACTATGTGCGGGGTTCCATAACGTGTTTAATAGAGCCTGCATAATGTACCTGATGGCAAATGCGCAAATTTCCAGCAAGGATTGGATTAATAAATACAGATAACTTACTGGCTTTGAGAGGCCGCGAACCTTGCGATTACACGCGTTGCACAGGAAAGGAATTCCGAGGCTCTACTGTTTGGAGAAGGCTGTGTGTTCTGCTTGTTCCTTTTCGACCAGCTGGGCAAAGGAGCTCCTCGCACGGCCAGGATTGCCACATCTGTGTACAGTCACGTAAAACATTGTCCAGCGGACTGTCCAGCAGCCGACGGGTGGGACTGGGAACTTGAACTTGACGATTATGTAACAGAGAATAGAGGAAAACTAAAGAATTCTCGTGTGGAGTCAACGAGAATGTGGCGCCTTCAGGAAAAAGACGCGTTCGGCGCCTAGAACGTGTTTTAACGGGTTGACATGTTTTTAAAGCTTATCTTTTGACCACCTGTTTGAAGTGAAGTGAATCCCGTCTGCTTTGTTGACATAATATTTAACCCCGCCGGCAATGGCAGACCCAACTATACAGACATTCTGCTGTCACCAGCCTGACAAAGCAGACTCCTCTGTCGATATAATGCAAGCTTTTAACTCTAACTCATACAGCACTGTTTGTCTTATTTCATCGTCAATCGGAATTTTGGGTGCTGTGTATCAGGTGAGTTCAGAGGCTTCATCTAACTCTTTGTTTTGTCCGCAAGGGTAGCACAGATATCCTTGGGGACGAATTAAGAATCTCATTTTCTGCATGCCTTTGAAATTAACTCCTGAACAATTTCTAGAAAATTTTACTATTGCTATTTTGGTTTTTGTTTTAGGTTCTTCCCCGTGAGGAACCTTATTTATCCCATAGGTGGCTCACTCAGTCAGTCACTCGAGGACGTCAAATGGTCGTTTGGCTGGCTGTTGCAGATTTACTGGCTTCATTAGGTAAGTTGTAATACATCAATATCTTGTTTTAAAACTAATTCATTTCCATAATTATGTACTTTTTCAATTATTACTGCATTAATTTTTTTTTAAAGGGGTTTTCATCCGTTCAGCTCTATGGCTCAACTACAAGTCTCTTATGAACCCTGACAGTGATTCCACAGTTTTATTTTGTGCTATAGTGTCAGTAAGTATCAGGAACAGTCAAAATATATTGTGTAGGGCTTAAAAAAAAAAAATTTGAGGAGTGAGACAAGTTGGAACTGAGCATAACAATGAACATTTAATTGTAGGCTTGGATACAATACTTCTACACTGCCACATGGTTTTGGACACTCTGCTACGCTGTTGATATGAGATTGGTACTGCGAGAGCGCCCTGGCCATCCTGTGCTTTATCACTTGTGTTGTTGGCTGATCCCGGCAGTGTTAACGAGTGTTGGACTGTCCATTCTTTACATACCCAATGCAAAGTATGTATCATTGTAAAAGTGAAAAAGCAAGATTATTTCATTTGCTTTAACTTGTAACTGATGCTTCGTTCACAGCAGATAATTTTTACTTCTCTCTTTTAAACAGCTGTCATAATCTCAAATCTTTGGGCAGTGCAGTATTGCACATTCTGCCCAATTACCTTGCCACTTATGTTCCAATGGCAGTGGTGATGGTGGCAAACCCAATTCTTTACTGTGATGTGGCTCGTGCAGTGCACACAGCGGTTGTGTGCAGCTTGGCCCAATTCACCAGCAAGGAAAGAGGACTTGTGGACACTGTACGACTGAAACTAGCCTTGATCAATTTAGCCTTCTATGCTTGCTGGCTTCCAAATATTATCAATGGAATTTTGTTGTGGACTTTGTGGTATGATTTACCAACTAATGTCATTATATCCTTGTGGTACATAATGGTAAGTATCTTTGAAGAGGGAGGACAATAAGTGAAGTACTTCTTGGTTGTCACAGAAAAGAGTTAAATATCACCCCTTTTTCTCTCCAGGCTGTGATGAACCCACTACAGGCTCTCTTCAACAGCATGGTTTATCGGCGCTGGACAGGAGGTCCAGACAAGGTGTACATTCCCTGCCGTAAATTGTCAGGGCGTAGTGCTTTGAATGACCCATTAGATGAAGATCCTCTGCGGCCTCCAGTTTCATCAGAGAGCACTCCATTATTAGAAAATCCCTCTTCAAAAGCAACATCTGGCAATACCAACTTTACGATGAGTCTCACACCAAGTACTCAACGACGTGCCGCAGCCAGCATAAATGGTGCAACATAAGCCCTACTATGGTCCTTGTTCGTCTTCCATTCCTTGACCTTACCTGTAACTATTGTCCTTTCCCCTATAACTCTTAAGTTCTTCGTGTATCTTTATTTTAAACTTGACTTGAAAAGCAGCACAAAATGTTCTGCATAATATTGACCTGCAATCAGTATTGGCAATGAAAAGAGAACTTCAAAGCTTATGGTTATCACTTGAATAGGTAAACTTTTAGTCTTCTTGATCTAATGCACATGTGACATAAAGTAAGATATTAATATAAATGCACTTATCGTAGTCTTATGAAGAAAGTGCTGCTCCAGTGACTGTGTTCAATATTGACTTGCGCCCTGCCATTCTTAGCTAGTCTGAATATTATTACTAGTTACAGTATCATTATGATAATTATTTTAATTGTATTAACAATGCTTCCCAAGGGTAAAGCCAGTATTCAATATTTTTATGAGCCTTTAAAGATGTAATTCATTGTACTATTTTCCTCCTTGAACTGACCAAGGACCTTGAACGTGCCATTTTTTTTGCAATAAGTACAAGCATTCCAAATAAATGTGATACTTTTTTTGAATAAAAAGATACATTTGAAAACTTTACATTTTATTTACAAAAATTCATGTTTCAGTACACACATTGTCCTAAAATAACTGAAAATCTTAAGAAGCACTTGCATAGTCAAATGCATAAGAAACTGATTAGTTCACAAGTAACTGTTTCTATTTTTATAACTTTTTTTTTTACACGGTGATCTGAGGAGGAATGTATTTACACTATTTAAAAACAAAGCTAATGAATGAAATGACTGAAGTACTGAATGGACTGCTCAACCTGTATTCTATCACAGTAAAATTCATCCTGTTGATTTGATGCCGCCTAAGGATGAAATTAAAACTTCCAAAGCACCTTCTATGTGTAGAGATCTTCTCTGTCAGCACCAACACCATCACCGTCTTCTAGTGATGAGAAGTTAAGGAAGTGCGCTGGCCGGTGGACTTCATGGTAGAATTCCTTGGGATTGGCTAATTGCAGTTCGTACTTCATGTTGGGATCATGTCGAACACCTGAAAAACAAACATTGAAACAGCCAGAAAGTGATGCAGTAGTTAGACACATGAGTTGGGCTATGATATTAAATGAACATCTGGCACTCACCCATGAAGTTGTAATTCCAAGAACCTTGCGCTGGCACCATGAAGAATCCAAGGAAGCGATCTGACAGCAGCATCTGTACTTTTTCATAATGAGAAGGTAAGTAACCTTTGGGGTTATTTCCCTTGTCTGTGTTTTGACGGCCCCACTCAAAACCACTGGGTGTAAGTTTGTAGGCTGTTAGTGAGCAGGAGCCAGGGGTGAAGCTGCAAGTGATAATTATAGTCTTCTCGCCATCCCAAGAGGCATTGTCAGCCATGACCTTAGCATGGGTAGTGATGTCCTGAGGGGAAAGCTGAGGCAGTTCATTGGGTTGAGTATGAATCCAACCAAGGGGCTCCATCTCTTTCAGGAAAGAGTGCTGAGGCAACTGCCCAGGGAGGTGCACAGTTTGATGTGTTCCCCATTGAGGTGCCATCACAATACACCTGATTTCCTTCACTTGTGGGTTATCAGGTGGACTGACACCATATAAATACCCAGCAATCTGCAGAAGAAAGTTAGCGGTTACCTTAAACAATTCAAGATGGGAGCATCATTGATGTATCATTGACAAAACTGCTTACCTGAGCGCGCAAGTCAGAGATAGTAACAAACTTCTTCAAAACATTCTTAGGGAGAATGTAGGTGTATCCGGTTTCCTTGATGTCATCAGATTGCACATAAATGTGGTTAGTACGAAGATGAAGGTTGGTGGCTGAGATGGCCCTCACTCTCCATTCAGTCTTGGAGCTGTAGGAAAAAACAACCACAAAAATTAAATACAACACTCAGGTAATTCTAAAAAATCTGAGAAATTTGAGTTTTTCACTTTACCTGAAAGTGTGAGTTTCATAATTGGATGTGGTTGATGTAATAATTTCATCACCATGCTTGTTAACAGTTCTAGTTGTAGTGGCAGTCAACTGACTCTGTTCTTTAGTTTGCTTTTCAATTTCAGCAATTTGTTGACGTTGAGCAGAGGGAGCACTGATCTCCATACCAAGGATGATATCACGAATTTCAGATTGTGTTAAAGAGGCAACATTGACGTTGTTCTTCTTGCCATAGTCTGCCAAAATAAGATCCTTAAGCTGAACTTCCACCTTGATCCATTCGTCATCAGTGAGAGTCGGCCAAATGTGGTGAGGCTCAGTGATTGTTGTTTTGTCAGGTTTCAGAACAACCTTCGTTCTCTCAGTGTTGACATGGAGAGCTCGCAGAATAAGGATCAGCCTTGAGAAAGCAGTGTAGGATGAAATTGTCTTCAACCAGTCATCGTACAGGTTGAACAGAACCATCTGAGGTTCCGTAGCTTTCAAAATCAAATCACCAAACTTCTCAACCTTCAGGCAAGCTTGGAATGGAAGCTGAAGCTCGGACCCCTTGATCACAATGTTAGGGAAATCCAGCAAGTGGACTTCTAGAGGATCCAACATACCCTTTCTTGTTACAATGATCTGCTTAGGCTGTTCTTCAACTGGCAAAGAACGGATCAAAGCTGCCACTTCTTCAGCAGTTTTCCACTTGGCGAGCTGCCCAAGACGTTTCTGGCCAGCCCACACAGACGTGTGAATAATCTTCAAGAAGAGCTGTCCAGTTCGTGGGTTGAAGATAAAGATGGCTCCGTTGATAGGCTTCGTGGTCAAGTTACCTTCAAATGTTTTGTGAATTGTGACACGGTACACATTGGTGTCATCAACAAACCAAATAATTTGGTTTGAGAAGAGCTCTCCATAATTTTGAGATGACAGGTAAGGTTCTGTGGGCTCTGAAGAGTAAAGTTGCAGAGCCTTGCGAATACGTTCTCTCAAGACATACAAGGCAGGGTTGGCCTTCATAATTTTAGCCATTGCTTGCTGAATGAGAGGCTTGGATCCAGGGAACCAGTTGCCATAGGCACTGTGCAAGTTGTAGGCTAAATCAATTGCAATCAAGACTCCAGTGGGTGAAGGATAGATGGACATATTGTCAGTGGTATAATCCAAGAACTTGGCTCTGGAATATCTCTCAATGTCATGAGAATCATAATCACCCCACCTCAATTGCACATCAATCCAGTACTTCTGAGTAGTTGTGTTGTCCATGGTGTCTTTAGAATCTGCCAGTAGGGATGGCCTTGAAACATTCCATTTGTAAGCAGCAAAGAGCAAGACATCAGCACAAGATGAATTCATCTTGTATGACTTTCGGGGGTGAATAGTTTCTTTCTGAACAGTCTCAATTTCCAGAGCATCTAATTCCTGATCAAATACTTGACACAGATCCATGACAATAGACTCATGCACCTTCTGCCACAAGTGAGCTCTGAAGATTTGAATCAGAGAAATCTTGAGTGTGGGAATCTTGCCGTGCATGAAAATACCAGTCAGATCCAGCTGTACTTGGAAACCAACATACACATTAGCTCGGTTGATAGTGGGAGACCACCAGAGAGTGAAACGACGATTGGGAATCTGGTTCAAACCAGACCGCTGGGCATTGGTCAGCTTCTTGTACTTCATAGACTCTTCAAATCCAGATGCTTTCTCCCAGAACAGACCTTCCCATGTAGGGAAGTAAGTTCCCTTGAACAGAGTGTGTTCCAGGATACCCTCCACACCGCCCAGTGCTTGAATCATGTCAGTACGGTAGTTATTCAGGTTCCAGAGCTTTCCGTCGTGTCGCTGATGCGTCCACCAGAAAGGATTTTGCTTCAACACCTGATATTGTTTGAATTCTGTCCGAATACGCCAGCCTTTGTCATAAGCCAAGGTGTGCCTGTCTTTCTGGAACAAGGTGTTGATTCGAGGAATACCACGATCCCAGGAGTCTTCCAAGTCTTCCAAAGTGAGACGCCGATTTTGGGCATTGGCTTCTTGTCTTTTGAGGGCATATTCAGCCCACACACGCTGGGAATCAATGAACTCACTTTCCCAAGGTTGAATGTATCTGTACAGATTGGGAATAAGTTGATCTTCATCGTGGCTCATACCAGACCGGAAATGAGTGATGCCCACATCAGTTTGCTTTGACCACCGCAAGTCTGACTGAGGGATTAATACATGTCCCATAGACAGCATGCCCAGACCACCCAACTCCTTCGGAGTGTAGAACACCACGGGAGGGAAACGAGAAGGCATTTTAGAGTTCAGACCAATCTTGATACGGGTCTGGATTTTGTTTTCACACTTCACAAGAAGGTCAAGGAGTTCCTGGGTGTTGACAACTGCTTCACGGAAATAAGTCATGAGACCAATCAGAGCAGTATTCCACTTATTTACAATCTGACAACAGAAAAAAATTTAAAAAAATTAGACTGTGTTATGGCTTTATATCTTAGTTGCAAACATTTAAATTTTCACAAAAGTTGTCTCAATTTTTCTTTTTTTTTTTTTAAAGGCTTACCTTAGTGAAAGTAGTTGAGCCAGAGGCCATAAGAATTTGCCTGACTCTGTTGTGGAACCTTTGCATTGATTCATCATCCACCCTCAAGAAGCACTGTGCAGTTCTTTCCTTCGTTATTTCATTCTGAAGATTCCAAACACCATCACGGTGAGTGAATTCTTCATGTGTTGTGCGGCACTAGAAATTAACACAAAAGAGCATGTTAGAAATAACTTACCAGTGCTTCAAAATGCAAAGTCAACACATGAAATGAAGTAATTTACCTTTGGTAAGATGCGACATTCAAACCCACTCATGTTGAAAAGTAAGTTGGGGTTGTCTTTAGAGTACACACTGACAAAACTGTTTTCCCACTGAATGGTAGTTGTAGATCTAGGTAATCTATTCTTTATATCCCAGAAAACAGCTCTACCCCTAAAATAGAAAAATAAAACAAAATGTGAAATTAAATGAAAAACAGTGAACTAAAACCACAAAAAAGTTTGGCAGGGACTTACAAATTAACATCGTGCTTCATCAGACGCATTCGAGCATCTCGAGGCCAACACTTCTTGTTATTGTACCCAACAATATTTTCATTGTTAGGATCAGGGTGTTCAGTAAGATATCTCTGAATCAGGTCACGGGCTTCCTCGGCAGAGAATCTGTAAGAAAAAAGACACACAAACGTCAAGGTTGAAATTTTTAAAAGGCCACAAAAAACTTAGTCCCAAGTGACCATTTTTTTTACTCAGCATAGCGTTTGATCCAACACTTGCTGTAGGAAAGCTCCATCTCGGATGGTCAATCACTCACAACAAGTGCTGCCAGCCCACATAAACAGCTGGTTTCAGGACCCCTACGCGATTCATCATAGTCAAAGCAACACAAATTTTAAGTATAGTTAATGTGATGTGGTTCACATCATGCTCAGGATAGCGTTTGATCCAGCATTTGCTGCAGAAGAGCACGTCTCGGACAAGCATTCCCCTTGTCAGCAAATGCTGCCAGCCCACAGTAATGACTGGTTTCAGGACCCCTACGCAATTCATCACTGCACTGACAAACAAGTCGAAAGATAAAACTTACCTCAAGAAAATATGAGCTCGGTCAATGTATCTGCAGTAAAGCCGGATGGGGTGAGAAGATTCTGTGCTGACATCTTGGAAAGTCAAAAAGTCATTTGGCATTTGAGGTGGACCAGCCATTTCACTGGCTCGCTGCAACCCTAGCACTAGCAAGTCCAGCACCAAGCCATAGTACTGAACAATGAAAGATGCAAACTGGAGACCACGGATAATACCATACGAATTGGTATGGTTCATGTCCTTATAATTGATGACAACGTTATTCTTGGCTGTCATGTAATCAGCAATGTTGTGATCCACAATAAGACGCAACAACCTGTTCAGAAGAGTCAAATCTATCTTCTCATAGATTTTCTCAAACTTGCTCTCCAACAGTACGTTGCACTCTCCTTCAGAACAATCCCATACATCCTGCAAGTTGTTGATTCCTGAAAAATTCAAAGGTAAATTGAAACAGATGTAAAAGTTTGATAAACATAAAACAAGATTCAAGAAAACGGAATTTTTTTTACCTTGACACCACTTGTAGACAAGCAATGGTGGTGGTTCTGTGTCTGACGGTTTAACCCATGGAGGGAACAACCTTCTTTTGTCAGCTTCATACCAAAGATACTGATCAAGGTAAGCATCAGTAATCTTCTCCAAAGGTTCAACATCATATACAGGAACCAAGTGACTGTATAAATCCATGAACTCAATTCCAACTTCTTTGAAAGAACGCTGTGTAAGAAGATGACGCTTGATACGAGACAAAGCCTCATGAGGGTTATCGTAGGCCTGTTCTATAAGACCCAATTCTTCTCTTTGACTCTGATTGAGACGAGACTTCACACTGTAAGCTTCCTTCAGTCTTTCCAAAGCCAGAATGAGCAGCTTGGTGTCATGTTTGTATGACAAAGGGGGGAAAGGAATCGGAGCAAAGCGCCGTGACTCCAGCCAATGCACAGTGGTTGTGTAGATAGCAACAGCCTCTTCAGGAGAAATGTAAGGACCATCCTTCAAATAGTTGTGCTGACGTTCTTGCTCAGCCTTTAGGTACAGACGGGTCAAGCGGCCCAAATTCTTCTTGCACACAGTCTTGTCCACAGTTGCCCCTCTGCGAATACGCTCACGATTGTAGTGAGCAGTGTTAGTCCACCAATCAGCCTTCATCTTCACGTACCGCAGAATCATGTTTTCAATGGGAGTTGGCAGTCCAGGAACTTTCCATGGGATGTTTGCTTTCCAACAGCGCCATGCTTCAGAGAGATGTTGCAGAATGGTACGAGCTTTGTTCTGTTTAATTCCTTCTGGCATCATGTCCACAATGTCATGCATTACCTGGGATAAGAAATATATATCAGTACAGGTTAGACTAGTTTAAAACATAAACAGATAAAAGTTATGCAAGTGTTGCAGATTTTGTGACTTACAGATGCTCGCAGTTCCAAGTCGAAGTGCGACTCCACTCTCTGCTTAGTGACAGTCTTAGCAACGCCCTTAGAATGACGACCTTCAAACTGTCGGGACAGCAAGTTACCAAGCCATCTTTCCAGTAGTGGGGTGATTCCTCTCATAAAGAACAGCCAAACTCTCCAACCAGGAGCCCAGAACCCACAGCCGGGTCCTTTACCAACAGGTCCAGTGTTGAATCGGTAGTAGATGAGATGCTTCAAATCTTTGCACATTCGGATCTGTCTCATCAACTTGTACTTGTACCTGTACATTCCAGTGAGCTGACCAACATGGGCAAAGACATACTGAAGACCATCAGACAGTTGGAAAGCATCAACATTGTTCAAGCGGTATTGAACATGAGAATCAATAATTAGTTTTGTGAGACGTAGAATTTCTCGGCAAAGATGGAATGCATTACCAAACCGAGATTTTTTTCTTTCCTTGGTGGTTAAAGTCTTGACTGGTTTCAAGTTGAAGTTGTAATCCAAGTGGAGGTAGTTCAAGTTTTTACGATGAATAAGCAGGTTCAACATGTTGTAGCCCTGCCTGCACACCTGCAGGCCAGCCTCTACCCAATCCAAAGTTGTAGTTTGGAAGAACTTGGTTGATTTAAATGATCTGAACAGATACCTCTTCTTCTGAGGCTTGGGAGGTCTATGCTTCAGGGCATTTAGCACATAGTACTTCAACAACTTTTGGTAACTGACTCTCACTTTCACAGGTTGCCCAGGAGGGCAGTGTTCCCTGTACCAACTCTTCACAAGTGGAATATCAATGGCTCGTCTTGTTCGTCCTGCAAAGTAACAAAAAGATAATAGACACAGAACATGAGAGATGGAACATGGTATGCCAGAACACATAGACATATCTGACCTGATCGCATGTTAAATGGTCTCGGCGCCCACAAAAGAGAAATGCCATTAGCTGTGTTATCAGTGTACAGAGGAGTCTCCTGTAGGAAAGGTTGGACTTCATCAGGGAGCTCAAATTCTTCATCATCCTCTGGTAGGGGATCCACAACCTGGGGAAAAGAAAAACAAATAAAAAAAAATTGGGGATAAAAATTAATTTTAAATTGGTGTTGGAAGATGACTACCTTATTGGCATGCCTATGGGAAATAGGGTTGATCAGGGGATCAAAGTAAAATGCAGGAAGATCAGGATCCTCTGTCTTGATGTAAACTACATTAGGTGCATGGTACCTGAAAGGAGAAGATAAATTCAATAACTTATAAATTTCAATATTTATTGTATGTTGATTTATGTTTGGGAGGAAAATGTCAGTGAGCTCAGCATCTGATCCTATGCTTCATGGACCAACCAATAACAGCCACAAATTTATCTCCCACACTGCTAGTGAGTGAACATAATGACTTACATGTACTCTCAAAACTAGTGTGGATTCACTTAATCTAAATTTAATCTCAAAATGTAGGAGGCATAAACTTACCATGAAAGGTGTACATAGTGTGGCAAGTTGTTATACAAATAAGGGAAAGCAATCCTGTACTCTGTTCGGATAGGCTGTCTGATTATAATCTTGTTAATGTCATTGAATTCATTCCAGTCTTCATCACTGTAAGGAACAAAGTGTGTTAGACACCAGTTGAACAAGAAAAGAAGCAGATTTTAATGCAACAACCAGACAACCATATTTTACTCTGAAAACTTACGCTGGATTTGCATCTTTGATGAGTGGCTCAAATTTGGGGCCTCCTGGGATAGCCATGTTCAGAGCCTTTGCAGTGAAGAAGGACTTATGATCAAAGAGATAGAAATAGTTTTCATCCACTAAATCTGTCAAAAGCTGATTAGCTAGGCGATACAATGTGGCCATTTGAGGTAAGGAGAGATTCCATTTTCTGTATGTAGATCCATTTACATACCTAAAAATAAATGACAGCAAATATGAATACATTTTTATGACGCGATAATGGTGCGATTGGTGAAATGGAAGAAACCAGAACTTACTTAGTGCCAACTAAAGGTTTGTGGTCATAAAACCATTTGGCAACTGGTCCATCTTCATCAGGATCCAATTCAATCTGGATTGCCTCAAGTGGTTCCACATCTAACACGTTATCAGCATAATCAAGTGGAGGTTCTTCATCGTCAAATGGAGGGAATCGCATACGCTTGAAGTGGCGACGGTCACGCTTCTCTCGGCGCATCATAATCCACATTGTTCTGCACAGATAGCATCCATCAATAATACAATCATGGAACAAAAAGCAAGTTTAAAGCAGCAGCACTTTGACTTTTGCTAAAAAGACTTACCCCCACTGAGCAATATAGATGGGTTCCACAACCCAAGGGATTTCATTGACAAATGTGATAGCACCAGTGATGTGATAAAGAACCTTCACATCCCTGATCTGTTCCCAAGGCATGGGCATATTTTCTAATAATTTCATCACTGCGTGAGGCATGTATTTCAGGGCACTAAAAATTAAAACATTGATTTTAAAAGAACCTTGGTAAGAGGTGAAAAATTTTCAACCTTGAAAGAGAAGATTCAGAAACTCACCCCAGATACACTCTCTTGTCATGACGATATTTGCGACTACTCATGTCACCATGATCTCGCATGATTTTACGGATGTGTTCAGGTGGCATATCCTCTTTTTGAGCATCCACAAAGCCAAATTTCCTCTTCTCTGAAAATCTTTTGGACTGAAGTTGCTGCCATTTTTGTGCTGCAAGGTAAAAATCCATCAATATATGTATCAGAAATAAGCATGGAAAACAGATCAATGTGGGCACAGCTTTTAAATATACCCTTTTCTTGGAGTTTCTCCTCTGTGAGGACAATGTCCCTAGGCTTTTGAACAGGCGGGGCAGGCGCAGGTGGCATTTGCTGTGCCTGCATCACGACTTGAGACTGCATGGCTGCCGCAACTTGCTGAGCATGTACAGCTTGAGCCTGAAGGAGAATCACAGACAATGAATTGGAGAGTAAAATAAAAATACACAAGTTTGTATTATTTATTTTTATATAAGAAAAAAGTTTGATTTGACGAATGCATACCTGGGCTTGAGCATGAGCATGCGCTTGAGCCTGGGCAAACTGCTGTGCTTGAGCTTGCTGTTGGACCATCATTGCGGCCCAGGGGTTGGGCCCCAACATGTATGGCGGGAGCGCCATGTCTAGCCGCTATCCGGCACCTGTCGAACAGAAAATTAAATGTGTGGTAGGAAGGACGACACAAAAAATCATGAGTGTTATTTGTTTATTGAAGAAGACAAAATTGAAAGGAAACTATCAACAACTAACAAATAAAAATAGTAAAATCTTTTGAACTTGTTTTTTTAGGACATAGAGAACAGATCATGGTGCACAAATCAAAAACCAAACTAAATGCGGTCACTTACAAATAAAAGAGTGCGATCAGAGGATGGCACTTACTGGCCACCACCAAGCCCCAGACCAGACCTACACCAAACACAACATAACCTAAACGGCGTGCCGAGACTGCGATGGAACTACAACCGAAGAGCGAAGTCGCAAAAGGGAAATGAGGTTGGGAAAGGGAATGAGGTAAACCACAGATAAATGCATCCAGTAATGCACATAAAAGTGATTAAATTTTCACGGCGATGCGAAACTCAAACGACGCAGGAACGAAAGGCCGCCTCCGCCGACGGTGCCGACTCAAAGTTTCAGAAGCTGAGAAGGATGCAAGAGGACAATCGCCAGCTGCTAGCAAAGTTAAGTACAAACATTGTGTACTTACAATGTAGTTGAATCCGAATTCCTCCTATTTAAGGGTTCATTTTCTTCGACAAAATTAAGAAACACTGACGCTCTGCGCGAGCGGCGAAGTGCGAGGTACGTGCTGGAAATAACAAAAGACAAAAAGAGTGTCCTGCAGCCAACTTCAACTTATGAACGCCTTGTTGAAAAAAATTAAAAATTCTTCAATGGGAAGAAAAAATATGAGGACGGCGAAAGCCAATAAACAAATTTCAACGAATAAAAATAAAATTTGACATGAGCATTGTTTAAATCGACAGCAGTGTGCGCATTTTCAGATGTTTCATTTTTGTGGCATTGCCAGTTTGGAGAGGTCAAAGTTCGTTCCAGACTGCACCTCACTGGTCATTTTTAAGAACGGTACGTCTTGCGTAATGCAAGGGAAAGCCCAAAGAAAAACTAAGTTTCACGTTCTGTAGATGCCGCAGTGTATATTCATTCGAAAGGTATGGTGCAATAGACGTCCACAAAAAATAAAAATTCAACGTAACGTGTGTTGGTATGGAACATACCCGTTACTGAAAAAGAAGAAAAGTGGAAGGGAGCGGTCGGGCGATTTTCCAGCAGTGCGGAGCACGAGGTTGAACGAGCGAAAAGTGCCGGGTTCGCGTTTTAACTCGTATTGATTTTCGTCGAGTTATTCGTAAACAGACAAAATGAGTTCCCTTCTAAAATCTGTCATGAGGCTGGCCCCTCTTAAGTCCGTGGCATCGCCTCTGCGGTGGTCCATGGCATCGTCAACCTCGCGACCCTTCACTCGGAGCTTGTGGCACATGTGTTCTTCTAGGGACGAATCTTCGGTACTTTCGGGCCTTAAACTCAAGACTCCCTCCAGCCTGTGCAGCTGTGGCTGCGGCAGTCGCCATGTCCACAGCAAAGGTATTCATTAATGATATTTCTCTGGCTGTTGCTTCACATTCTGCAAATGCAATGTTCTTAGTTAATGACTGCATCCATTCATTTTAATGTCATGAATGTTTATAGGCTTCGGGCAACTAACTGATCATGTCCTTTTCTAATGTGTTTTGTCATATTCCTGTGTTTTAGGTGAGAGAGAGCTCATTGAGTTCTTGTCTGAGGAGATCGCTACTGAAACAAAGAACAGGAAAGTTAAAACACTACCCACCGAAGTAGAAGGCTTCAAGGTCCAAACTGATGGAGCTGATGTTGTACTGTCCAAATCCTCAGGTGATGAAACGTAAGTAACAGCTTCAGTCTTGTGTTTAATGATCACTAATTTCTTTGTTTTTTTTTTTTTTTTTTTTTTTGTAGCTTGTAGTTTTCATGCTCTTTTGTTTGTTTCCAGTATTGAAATTCACTTCAACATCAACCACACCGTCGATAATGAGAGTGAAGCAAGTGTTGATCCCACTATGGACAAAGCTGAATTTGGTGAACTTAAATCAAAACCCACATTTGATGTGGATCTTAAGCGAGGAACCACTACCCTAAGTTTCACCTGCTCTTTCTTTGATGGAGAACAACCTCAAACTGAGGACGGATACAGTAAGTAAATTTTTACTCCCAACAATGGTTATTGTGAAACCATCAGCCTCATCTCATTCACAAGCATTCTTTTCTAGATGACATTTTTGGTATTGATGAAATTTCCCTCTTCGATGGAGCATGGGATGATAAACACTACTCTGTTGCTGGGGAAATTCTGGATGGAGTAAGTCTACCTATCATCCCTCTGAAATGATAGTAATTATTTTTGAGCCCATTCCTAACTATCTTTCTTGAATCTTGTTTTCAGTGTCTTTATGACTTGTTGATGAACCTCTTGGACGAGAAGGGTGTCAACAATGACTTTGTGGAGAAGCTTCAAGAGTTTGCCACATCCTATGAAAACCACCTGTACATCAATATGCTCCAAAATATTCAGAAGTTTACCAGCAAAAAATAGGCTTTTAATGAATTGTCTGTTTTTCAATTATTTTCAATTTGTCCTGCGAATTCTGCTCCCAGTAATTGTGTCTGTAATTTTAAGGATTCATTTTTGTTCCAAACCTCATTATGTTAAGCTAGTCTAACTGTTGCATTTTTTTTTTATTTACATCATTTTATGAAACATTTTGTTTAAGTGTACTAGTGACATGTGATGTAGGCTGACTGATCCCAGTAAATGTTATAGTGTTAGTAAATTGCATTTTTTTAAAATCATCATCTCCTTGAACCCATTCTTTTCAGGCTCTCCGTTAATTGGCGCTCGTTCCTGGGACTTCCCTGGTTGCTTTCTACCGCCGGAAATCTCCTGGGGGCAGTATAGGGACGCATTGAATCGCCTTGCTCAGCCAGTCATTCATTCATAAACCCCGCCTCCCTCGCCTGCCAACACGCAGGGCTTCACCTAGGCTTGACGTCTGCACGGTGCCGCGCCCTGGCGGCCAGGTAGGGAAGCTCCTCGCGGCGGTGCGGTCGTGGACAGGTGGCGCGCGGGGGGTCGACGGCTACCTCCGCCTCCTCCACCTGCCCCTGCCCCCCGTCCGGCCTGAGGCTGGCGTGCGGTGGAGCGGGCACAAGCAAGCAGCCAGCCAGCCAACAGTAACGGGACGAGAGCCGCACCGAGCTGAGCCCGAGTACCCGAGCCCTGCGCCGCGCCGCAAAGCCCCTCGAAGAGCACCGACTATGTTGTGCCTGTGACGCGAAGTACCAGTGCCTTAGCTTGCCGACTAGCCCCGCGAGTGAAGCCCATTTTGGACACAGTGCCCTATGGATTTTGTGGATACGTCTCGACGCTAGCGTCCGGCGCCCTGCGCCGCCCCGTCGTGCTCCACGTAAGTCGAGATAGAGGAGCGAGGATGGCCGAGCCTAGCCGGCCGGGCAGCCCAGGGCCCACAGCCGGGCCCGGGGCGTACGCAAGCTGCTGGCAGGCCGCTGGCACGGCGAACGGGAGAGCTTCTCTCCTCTGGTGGTTCCGGCTACGGCTGCTACGGCCGGCCCTGCGGTACCCTCTGGGTATCCTCCGGCCCGCAGAGTACCTGCACCGCATCGTCGCGCTGGCCCGGGTGTACTGACCCCGGTAGCAGCGGAGCAGGCCAAGGGCCAGGCCGAGGGCCCAGCGCGGCCTAGGCTGGATTCTTGCAGGAAATGGAGGGATGCCAGCGTGCCAGCCCTCGTCGCCAGGAGGGCCCCACCCCGGAGGGTCGGCCTGGTCAGCCCCTGGGGCCCGATGACCCGCCGGGAAACCTTAGGATCGCCGAGAGGGGTGTGGCCTTACGGCCGGCAGGGCGGGCAGGGCCAGGCTCTAGGCCAGGCCGGCAATCGGGTGCTGCCCGATCAGCAGCCTCGCACACGCAAGCCGTGAGTCGCGAGCACGGCGGGGTGCTCGCGAGGACCCAGGACCTCCAGCAGGCTGGACTCATGGGGCGTGCCGGTACCGCGGGGTACCACAGGGGTTCGGAATCAGCCTCCAGAACGCCGCGGTGTCCTGCTCGACCGCGCAGGACTGGCAGGACAGACCAGAGCGCCTCCCCCGGCTCGACAAGCTCCTCGTGAACCGGGTCCAGGTGGCGGGTGGCATGGCGGCTAGTGACGCACAGGTGTTCCTTATCAGCAGCCGGCGCGTAGCGGTAGATTTGCAAGCAGGCCGGGTCGGGCCGCGCCGCGCCGCGCATGCATCCTGCATCTCGCTCTCCTTGTCCATCTCGGCGCCCGGCTGGCTCGGCTGGCCGCGCCACGCCGCCACGCGGACGCGCTGCTTCTTGGCCGTGGCTTCGCCAAGGCTTGGCGCTTCGCTCTAGCTTGGCGCTTCGCTCCGGCCGGTGCCGAAGTGGGTTAGCTTGTCCGGGCGGGTAGGAACGGCGCGGGGCGTGGCGGGGCGTGGCGGGGCGTGGCGGGGCGTGGCGAGGCGTCGCGGGGAGGCGCTCCCATTGATGAGAACAAAACTTGCAGTCTATTGTGCGCGTCCCTCTCGTGCCGCTGCTGCCGCTGCTGCCGGTGCCGCTGGTCTGAAGGAGTGAAATCTGCAGTGTGCCGACGTGCCCTTCCTTCAGCCCTGCCCCTTGGCACGCGATGACCTGCCCCCTACCCGTCGCCGACCCTTCGGTGACCCTCCGCGACCCAGCGGCCCGACGGCGGCGCCCTCTCGCCTCCGTGCCACTCCGTGCTCGAAGCGAGACGAGAGGGACTCTGATTAGCATGACTTGCTCTGAGTTGCGGTGTATAGTACACTGCAGTGTACTCGGCCCGCCCCGCGTTCAAGTCTCCCATGCAAAAGCGGCTGGCGAAAAAAAAACACTTTGGCTGCTTCCACATCGCGGCGGATTTTCGTTGGAGACCCGCGCAGCGTAAGATCCGTTTCGTCGCACTGTAAGTCTCTATCTCCCTCTCCCCCTTGCACCCCTACGGGACGCCCCATGAGCGCGACAGAAACAGAGCGACGGGACGGTCGTTCGAATCACAGGCGGCAGGCAGCCTGCGCCGGCGCCGCGGCGGCGTCGAACGCCCGGTGCGTTTTTGGCTTGGAATGTGGAGCAGTTCCAAGGAAAGGGCCCGGGGCGCGAGCGGCGCGAGCAGCGCCAGCCCTTCGAAACACTGTGCCCTGCCGCCCTGCCCGCGTGTCCGGCACCGCCACGCCCTTCTAGCCCTTTTAGCCCTTCGCTCCCATCACCGGACATCAGGCTGCTTCCGTCGCTCTGTCTCTCTCGCACTCGTGGGGCGTCCTGTGGGGGTGCGAGAGAGACAGCAGGGCCGCCTTTCGGAGCCGACCCGCTACCCGGCGCAGAGGGGCGCTGTAGCGAAGCCTGGCAGCCTGGCCCAGCCGCGGCCGAAACGGTGAAAAATTGAGCAGCCCACTTCGGGCGTTGTCTGGCCGGCTCATCCTGATCTGGATATAAACGTCGCGCAATGGGCATCCCGAGCTTCGCCTGCTTCGCTGGGCTGAGCCACGGCAGGCACGGCCAAGGCCCGGCGGCGAGCGGTCCGATGCGGCGATGCGGCCCGCGCCGACTTTCGCTGGGGAGCCAATCCCCGCCCAGGGCTGCCGGCACTGCCGGCCCAGGGATCTGGTTCTATGTCGCAGGGATATAAACATCAACTTTCTATCGTTTGCCGTGGCTCCGCGTGGCTCCGCGCGGCGCCACGGGGACACTACACTGATAGCAGGGCTATCGGCCTATCGGCCCGCCCTGCGCCCTTCATCGAGTCGCGAGCCTTTTTCGCGGCCGGCGGCCCAGCTGACTGATTCCCAGAGTCACTGTCGTCGCTCTGTCTCTCTCGCACCAAGGGGACGCCCCAGCAGTGCCGCAGAGACAGAGCGAATCAGGTGGCGGGACGACGAGGTCTGCATCGGGCGGTTGGAAAATTGGGCGTGGGGGCCGGGATGCTTGGCAGTGCACTCACCGACATGGGACACAGACACACCACACGCGGAGAAAGGTGGGAGAGAGGAGAGAGGGGGCGTTGGCGCGTTGGCTGCCGGGCCTGCCGTTGCCTTGCCTGGCGGCCTGCCGGGGCCTCAAGTTCAGGGCCGGCGAGAGAGGCTCGTTTGGAGCGCCGGGGAGAGGGGGTAGGGGGAATCCAGCCGAGGTGAAAAGTTGGGCAGAAAGGGTGAGGAAAAAGGGACGTGATCCCGCACAGCGTTTTGTCGCTGTCTCACTCGCACCTGTACGGAACACACGGGACGCCCCATGAGTGCGAGAGAGACGTTCGGCATTGCTCTGCAGATCCGAGTGGAAATCCGGAGCCTGGACGCGCACGCGCATGACCTTCCAGCGTTGCGAAGTCGTGTTCGGTTTCGACTAATGGTCATAGACGCGAAGCCGCACTGCGGGCTGTCTCTCTCGCGCCCGTACGGGACGCCTAAGAGTGCGACAAGGACAGAAGTCTACGGTCGGGATGACTCTGCAGCCGGCAACCGACCGGCAACGGCCACCGCTGAATAACTACGACGAAGAACCGCATGCAGCCGCCAGCGTGGCCGGCAGACCGACAGCGCGGCGTTCAAACCGCGACACTGCCGTGACTGCAGCCCGGCAACGCCACGCGAAAGAGAGAGAGAGCTGCGCTCATATTTATGCCCCTCGCGGAGAAAAGGCAGCCAGTTCCCTTCCCGATGCGAGCCCCCCTCCCCCTTCCCTTCCCATTTCCCTGGCCAGTCCGGTCGGGGTGCGTCCGAGGGGTCCTCGCGGTGCCTCGCCGCGCCCCGCGGTCAAGACAAGGACCAGAGGGAAGTCTCTCTCTCTCTCTCACTCGCGGCCATTCCCCGACGAAAGGGTGGGGCGCGCAGCGCTGCGCGGTCGGGCCGTGGCGACCGGGCCGTGGCGCGCCGGGCCGCGCTGGGCTCCGGGCCGAGTCCGGCTGAGTCAGAGAAAGGCTTTCACTTCGTACATATCGGTGCAGGCTGTGGCCGTGGGGCCCGGCCGGCCCGGCCGCTCCGTTCGCCTGGGCCTTTGCGACTGCCTGGAAGGGGCCATGGGGCGTGCCGGCGCGCCGTCGTGTAGCATCATTCTCTGGCGCCCGACCACCCTGACCCGCATCGCTCTGTCTCTCTCGCACCTTCCCCGGGCGGCGCGGGTGCGAGAGAGACAGAGCGGTCCGCCGCGGCCGCCTTGCACCGCCAGGAAGGGTGTCGCTGATCTGAATCAGGTGCCGGTGGCACGCCGACAGGAGCGGAGAGCCTCGAAGAGAGCCTCGAAGAGCACGCTCGCTTTCGGGACGTTGGACACGATTCGGGTCGCACTCCTGGCTCTCCTGGCGTGATTACCTTATCGGCGAGTCAAGTACCGGGCCGCTGTGCGCCGTCCTCGAGAGGGCCTGCGTGCCTAGTCGCCGCTCCACCTTGCCAACAGCGCGCAGCCTAGACAGAGGCAGGGTGACGAAACGCCTCTTCCGAACGGCCGGGCTAGCCGGGCCGGCTGGATGAATATGGACGGGGTAGTGTCGGTGCCACCTCGCCGAGCCTCACCAGCTGCTTGAATGTGTGCGGTGCGTTTCTCGTTTCTCTCATTATGGCGATGCAGCAATAATGCAAAATGGAGACGCGGTTTCCTGCCCATTGCGCCTTGCGGGCCTTGCCTTGCCTTGCCCGCCACGCCGCCGCGTCCGGCCGATGCCCCCCCCCTCCTTCCTTTGTCCTTTCTCCCGCGGTCCAAACGGGGTAGGGACTCGCTGTTGCGTGTACACTGTACATTGAATCGCTAAT